ATTAGTCTAGAAAGTTGGGAAAATTGATGAAAATGGTTTTTTCGGAATTTTGAAAATTTGTCGAAAAAATATTTCTTAATTTTTTAAAAATTTAAGGGGGATTTGGGGTCTTAGAGTGATTTCAGGCTGAAATCAAGCTCAAAAATCAATTTTTTAAACTCAAAAAACCCATAAAACCATCAAATAATCATGAAAATCGGGAATTTTAAAAATTCAANANAGTCCNCCACCCATGACGTATGATATTAGGAGGAGGAAGAAAAAAGAATGGCGCGAAATTTGAAAATTGAAAAGTGACCGGGGGTAACAGAGCCGCGGCCGACCGCAGTCCCTGCAAAAAGGTCCGGTATCTCGAAAATAAGCTTAGCTACTCAGAAAGTTCCAGGGCTGCTAACCCTACCCATCCTATAAGCACCGTATTCCAAGTCGTTTTTTTTCTTTCGACAAGCTTTCTAGGAATCTCGACCTTTGGAATTTTCTGATTTCTAAATTTTATGAAAGGTTTGAGCTTTTGAAGCCTTTCCGACAATCTATATTGTTGGGTTCCGGTTTTTTTAGATCTTTCAGATGAGTAAAATATATGAGTTACAGTAAGAAAACGATGTTTATATCGTTTTGTAGGGCATTTCATGTTCTACTTTTTACATTTTGATTTTAGTCAAAACATTGAGTTTGAAGCAAGTTACGAATAATTTTCAATAGCTTGTCACTATTAGACACGCCTTCATGTTTAACGGTTCCTATTAAACGGAGCTCATTAAAACAGTATAAATTTTATATTATTATCTTGTAGGGCTTTTTAAGTTCTACATTATACAAGTTGAACTTTGTCGAAAAGTTGAGTTTGAAGAAAGTTACGGGCTATTTTTTAAAGCTACACAGGTTCGTCGTGTTAATCGGTCTCTACTAAAACCGAGCTTTTTGAAACGTTATGAATTGTATATGATATTGTAGATCTTTTTAAGATCTACATTTCACATTCTGAATTCAATGAAAACATTGAGTTTGAAGAAAGTTAAACCTCATTATCCATAGCTATACACTAGTGGCGGCGTTTACACAAACGCATTTCAATATACAATATGAATATTATATAATTCTGTAGGCCTGTTTAAGTTTTGCATTTCAAAATTTGAATTTTGTCAAATTTCTGAGTTTGAAGAAAGTTACAACTCATATTAAACAGCTAGACACTAACAGCGGGGCAGACCTTGAGATTAAACGGTCCCTACTAGAACGTAACATTTTAAAACATTATGAATTTTATACTGTTTTGTAGCGCTTTTCAAGTTCTATATATTCCAATTTGAGTTTGATGCAATTTTAGAGTTTGAAAAAAGTTACAGCCTATTTTCGATTCTAAAACTTTGGGATGGCAAAAGGTGCGAAATTTGAACAGACTAATTTCTACACCCAAAAGTTCAAACGATAAAAAGTGAACTTTAAAAGAGTGGTAAATGAAATGAACACTGTAAAAGTTCAAAGTAATTGAACTTATAAATCCAGGGAGAGGTGGTAATTGACAAGTCAGATAGAAGCATAAAGGTCGGAATTCAAAAAAGAGAACGCGCGAAATTTGAACCTGTTTGATTTATAGTGAAGAAGAGAGACGAAGATTAGACAACTTTAGGTTAACATAGGAAACTGGAACAACCAAGGACAAATGAATAGACAGTATAGGGGGTTAAAAAAAGCGGGAAATTTGAAAAAAAAACAATTTTTCCATTTTTAAACTTTAGCCGTAGTCAATAAACTTTGCTATAACTTTGCAATAGCTAATAGGCAGTTTTTAAGTCGCATAACTCGGCTCGAATTCAAGCTAGCCGAATTTAAAAAAATTGAAAATGTAGAAAATTTTGTAATAATTATTTTAGCAATTTACGGTATTATCTTAGCTTTTCTAGTTTTTGAGCTATGCGCCTTTAAAGCTGTCTGCGTCTCTCCTCCCTTTCAAAGTTGCATAACTTTCTTCAAGTTTGAGCTAGACAGACTTTAATACTCGAAAAATGTAGGAAAATTTATAAGAATGATTTTAGCAGTTGACAATATTTCTCTAAATTTTCTAGTTTTTGAGCTATGCGCCTTTAAATATAAGGCAGGCGAGACACCCTAGCTGTCTCCGTCTCACCTCCCTTTCAAAGTCGCATAACATTCTTCAAATTTGAGCTAGACAAATTTTAAAAAATGGAAAAAGTAGGAAATTTTGTAATAATTATTTTTGCCGTTGACACAATGTTTCTAGCTATTCTAGTTTTTGAGCTATGCGCCTTTGAAGGAGAAACATGGCGCTCACCAACTATCTGCGCCTCCATCTCAAGAACCATAAGTGCTATCCAAATTCAGTAAACTACAAAACTAAAGCACATAAAACTTCCAGCAATTTCAGATTTTCAAAAACTTCCTAGAACTTTTACTTCCCGAGATATGGGTCTTCATCCTTGGCTATCCCCAAAAATGGCCACCTGCAGGGGTTTTCGCTCCCTTTTTTGTCTTTTTTTGTACTCTGCAGCTGCCCCTTTTCTTAATTTAACCTAATTTAAATTTAAATTAGGAATGGGATTCATTCTTCATGAGCATCTGTTTTTTGGCAGATGGTAAGAGTCTGGATTTTGGTGGAAAACTGGAAAATAGACAAGTTTTGAGTTCAGAAAATATACTCCAGAACTTTCAGATTTGCCTGAAACTTTCAGTCTATATTAAACAAAACAAGAGCTTTAATTTTGCAGTTGACACTTTTTTGATACATAGCATTTTTAGTTTTTGAGATACACATCAAAATTCCAAAGTTAGCCCTATAATGCGAGTAGTGCCATTTCAAAGACGCTTATCTCGTTTTGTCGGATTTTTACAAAAAAGTTGTCAATTACAAAACTGAAGCTCTTGTTTTGTTTAGTATAATCTGAAATTTCCAGACAAATCGAACAATTGTGGACCACTTTTTTAGGACTTCAAAGTTGACTTTTTTCAGATTTTCTTTTAACGAATTTCTGGAAATTCTAAACAAACGAAAAGTGTTCAAAAGTCCAAAAAATGGTCATAAATTTGAATCTCATGACTCAATGTCCTTTCTCTTGAGAGAATGAAAACATATTTGTTTACAAATTATTCGAAATGTCTAGACCAGGAAATCAGAGATTAGAGAAACAAGAGGAGACGCAGAGAAAAGTGTATGTAGTTAGAAGGTTTTTGAACTTTTGGAGGAAGATAAGCTTGATAAAAGCTTATGATAAAAGATAAGAGCTTAGTTTTGAAACTGGAAATATCTTTTTCTAGTAATCAGCTAGTACTCAAACCATACACTTTGAGCCTATATATCTCATTTTCTGTAAAAGATATCAAAAAGTGATCAACTGATAAAATGTTTATCATAATATCAGCAACATTTTATTTGTTTACAACTTTTTGATATCTCTTACAGTAGCCCAGATACTCAAATTTGAAAGTCAGGGGGAGTCATTAGAGTGCTTTCTTAAAGTTTTAGCCGAGGTGTAGGAGGGGCTTCTCTACGAAAAAAACAAGAGTTTTGTAAGATTTTGTAGATTTTTTAAAGTTCTACATTTCGTAATCACATGGGCGGCTCCACACAGGTCTTTATGTTAAAGGGTCCCTACTAAAACACAGCTTTTTTAAAGCAATATGAATAATATTTATATTGTTTTATAGGCCTTTTTAAGTACTACGTTCACAGTTTTGAATTTTGTGAAAACTTCGAGTTTGAAGAAAGTTACAACTTATTCTCTGTGGCTAGACACTATGGGCAGCGCTTACCCATGCCTTCATTTTGAACGGTCCCTACAAGACTGTCATTCTATGGAATTATGAAAATGCTATACCATTTTATAGCCCTGTTTAGGATCTATATTATCCAATTTTAATTTTTTTAAAAGTACAAGTGTGAAGCAAGTTATAACCTACTTTCTATAGCCAACATTATGGGCGTCACTTGGTCCGCTCCACACAGGCCTTCATGTTAAAGGGTCCCTACTAAAACGCAGCTATTCAAAACAATATGAATGATATATATTGTTTCATAGGCCTTTTTAAATACTACGTTCACAGTTTTGAATTTTGTGAAAACTTCGAGTTTGAAGAAAGTTACAACTTATTCTCTGTAGCTAGACATTATGGGCGGCTTTTACCCATGCCTTCATTTTGAACGGCCCCTACAAGACTGTTATTTTATGGAACTATGAAGATGCTGTGCCATTTTAAAGGCCTTTTTAAGTTCTACATTTTACAATTCAAATGAACCAAAAATTTTGAGTTTGAAGCAAGTTACAACCTACTTTCTATAGCTAGACACTAGTTCCTCTAGCTAGACACATGCCTTCATGTTAAAGAGTCCCTATCGCAAATTAAAACTAGGAAAATGTTATATCATTATTTAGCCCTTTTTAAGATCTACATTCTACAAATTGAATCATTCCGAAAAAGCTAATTTGAGCAAAGTTATGAGGAAATAACAAGAAGGCACATAGAACTGGGGAAAAAGAGAGGAGGAAGGAGGGAAAGGGACAGATGGGCGGTATGGAGAGAGAGAGAGAGAGCACAAATGACCAGATATTTGTATCCAAAAGTTTATGGAGAAGAGAGAGAGTAGAGAGAGGGAAAAGAAAAAAGGGTAATGAGGTGGGCGGAGTCGGGGAAATAGAGAAGATTAGAAAAAGAATATGGGGATGGATATTGTGTAATTTGGGAGGTGGCAGGTGATAATGGAAGTTGGAAACGAAAAAATAGTAGAAATTCTAAAAGAAAAAGTGATTACATCTATACAAAGTTGAGGTTTTTACAATTTCGTTTTCAGAGTGAAATTCTAAAAAATCCAAAAGAAGTTGCTTGAGGCTCAAACGTTGAACTTTTAATACTTTTAATAAGAGGCAAAAATTCAGAGAAAACTAAGAATTTTAAGTTTTCAAAAAATGCTATATTTTTGAAGCCAAATATATTAAAAATCCGACAAGATTGGCCCTAGTTATCATGGATTTTAGAACCAAAATATCAAAATTGATCAATTGAGTCAACGAAAGGGGAGGTACATAGCCCAATCGATAACCAACATATCTGAATGTTACATTTCCAAAATTCTTTAAACGTTCCCTATTTTTAAGTCAAAAATCTCAACAATCCGGAGAAGGTTCTCAAAAGTTATAGTCAATTTTAGGTCAGAAACGTAGATGTGTTTGCATTTGATACTCAGTCAACAAGGGGGCGTGGCCTAAAGAAAGTGAGTCATTCAGGAAAGAAGTGGGCGTGGCTAATAGAAAATGAAACATATGGGAAACTAAAAACGGGCGTGACACAAATGAGGTCAATCATTTAGGGGATTGATTTCTAAAAAAGGGGCGTGGCTTAATAGAAGTGAATCATCTAGGAAATTTCCAAGAATCCAATGATCAATGATTAAAAACAGGAGGAAATACGTGTTTTAAACGAAAATCAACATTTCTGGACCACAAAAAACATGGGAACTCCAAAAATTACATTTTTTAGTTTCTAGATACATAAGACACCTGTCCAAAACATAATCTCTGTGTCTCTCATCTACCCAGGTCATCTGCAAAAGAGTACAAAACCAATTTTTTTGGCCACCACCTGCCTGTTCTCTTTCGTCTTCTTTTTTTGGCCACCATACCGCTAATCCCCTCAAAAAAAAAAGAAGTACGGTAATAGGCGAAACAGGTGGTGCTCATTTAATGACCCCAATTAGAAAGGTGAGAGGGAAGAATTGGTGGTCATAAAATACATCAACATGCCAAAAAAAAGTATTTTTGGCATGATTTTCTCAACGTTTTAATCTAAAAAATCACCGAATTTTGGATTGAAAATGTGAAATTTGTTTTTGTCTTGTTTTTAGCTTCAAAATGAGCCTAAACACGGCTAGGCTCCGCCCACTTTGAAATTTCACCTATACACGCGACGCACGACTTAGAGACTTTTAGAGGTACTGTGGGATTTTAAAAAATTTAAAAATCGATATATTAGGCTAAAAATTACCCTTAAATGTCTTAAAACTGACTTTTTTGAATTTTTTGAAAAATAATTATTTTTAGAAAAATTCCAAAAAAAATGTTTTTCGAAATTATTTTCCCAAATTTTCAAATTTTTTCCAGTTGCCGCCTACCGTGCCACATCTCTCAGCACTTGACAAATCCTCGCCGCTACCGTAACCCTCTCGATTTTCTCATTTCTCTATCTGGTTTTTGCTCAAAAACACGCGTTGCTTTTTTATATCATGACTGGGTGAGTTTTTTCACTTTTTAATTTTAAAAACCACAGAACTTTGGATTGAAAATGTGAGATTCGTCTTCGTCTTGTTCTTAGCTTCAAAATGAGCCTAAACACGACTAGGATCCGTTTAGTCTAGGCCCCGCACCTTCTTAGGGGGCGGGGCTTAATAGTGGGCGGAGCCTAGCCATGACTATACTCATTTTAAAGCTCGAGACTCGCTCTATTCAAATTCAATGTTCAAAATGCTTTGAAATGAGCCTAAACATGACTAGGATCCCGTCACTTTGAAATTTGTCTTCGACACGCGACACACGACCGCGACGCGCCTAAAAAATCAAAGTGGACGGAGCCTAGTCGTGTTTGGGCTTATCTTGAAGCTTATCTTAAGCTGAGTGTGATTCTAATTTTAATTTTTAGACATTTTCTAGGTTATGGAGTGTAAATTAAAGTTTTTAAATTTGGAAAAAAATAAATTTTTTTTTGCGATTTTTTAGCAAAAATGTGTAGACTGAGAAAGAGAGAAGAATGTTCTGAAAAAAGAAAAAAAAGAAAAAAAGGAATATGAGAATTTGGAGGAAAAATGAACCTAATTTGAGTGTAATTTGAGAGAGAAAGTAGATTTTTTGAGAAACAAAAAATAGAAAATTCAAAAAATAGAGATTTCGAAATTTTTAATTTGAATCTAATTAAATTAAACTACAAATTAAAACTATTAATTTTTTTTTTTTAAATTTTCCAGAAAAATCCCAAAAAATGAAAATATAACGATTTCAAAATAGCGAAAAGGAATAACAAACAGCAAGAAACAGAAAAAGAGAAAAAAAAGAAGATAACATATATTTCGAAATCTTGTGTTTATGTAGTTCTTATGAAATTTTCAGAATGACGAAAAATTTCGAAAAAAAATTTTTTTTTAATTTTTTTTTCTTAAAAATTCTAGGAAATTTCTTGCTCCCACCCCTTTTTCCTAAACTTAAAATTTAATATTTTTTCATTGATTCATTCATTTATTTAAGAATTGTCACCTAAAATTTGAAAAACAGAATACTCGTAATTTTCAAAAAATCCAAAAATACACAAAATTCAAAAAAAAAGTATTAAAAATTAAAATTTCGACTCCTCCATCTCTCGACTACTGGAACTGCTGGATTTACAATCAAACTCGTCTTCCGGATACTCTCTGGCCACCATATACAGTACCGCACCAATTCCAGACGCATACACAAAAAGAATGTAGACCCCGATTAGGCTGAAAATTTCCAGAATTTCCGATTTTTACTATTGGCATCGTATTTAGCTTATCGAGAGCTTTGAAATGAGCCCAAACACGACTAGGCTCTGCCCACTTTGATTTTTCGGGCGCGTCGCGGTCGTGCGTCGCGTGTCGAAGAGCAATTTCAAAATGGGCGGATCCTAGTCGTGTTTAAGCTCATTTTAATGCATTTTGAACACTGAATTGAAATTTGACAAATTTCAAGCTTTGAAATGAGTCTAAACATGACTAGGCTCCGCCCACTTGCTACCTAGTTAAGCCCTACCCCTTAAAAAGGGGTGGAGCCTAAACCAAATGGTTTCTAGTCGTGTTTAGGCTCATTTTGAAGCTAAAAACTAGCTACATTCAAATTGTTTGTTCAAAATGCATTAAAATGAGCCTAAACACCACTAGGATCCGCCCACTTTGATTTTTTAGGCGCGCCGCGGTCGTGCGTCGCGTGTCAAAGAGAGGTTTCAAAGTGAGCGCATCCTAATTGTGTTTAGGCTCATTTTGAAGCATTTTGCCAGTCTTAAGCTTCAAAATGAGTATAAACACGGCTAGGCTCCGCCCACTATTAAGCCCCGCCCCCTAAGAAGGTGCGGGGCCTAGACTAAACGGATCCTAGTCGTGTTTAGGCTCATTTTGAAGCTAAAAACAAGACAAAAACAAATTTCACATTTTCAATCCAAAATTCTGTAGTTTTTAAAATTAAAAAGTGAAAAAACTCACCCAGTCATGATATAAAAAAGCAACGCGTGTTTTTGAGCAAAAACCAGGTAGAGAAATGAGAAAATCGAAAGGGTTACGGTTGCGGCGAGGATTTGTCGAGTGCTCAGAGGTGTGGCACGGTAGGCGGCAACTGGAAAAATTATTAAAAATTGTGAACAAAGATTTTGAAAAAAAATTTTTTTTGGAATTTTTTAAAAATTTTTTTAAATTATTTTTTCGAAAATTCGAAAAATTCGGTTTTAAGAGAGACATTTAAGGGTAATTTCAAGACAAAAATACAGATTTTTCAATTTTTTTTTTGGCCCAAAGTACCTCTGTCTCCTCGGTCTCTAAGTTTTTTTTTTTTAATTTTATTTAATTTTTAATTTTTTTTTGGAAAATTTTACAATGCGAAATAATATATTTCATGACTTTTCAGAATAATTTTCAGCCAAAAATTTGAATGTTCATTTTTTTAAAAATTCTTTCTGAAATTCCTGAATTTTCAAGATTTTCAGATTTTCAAAAAAATTTCAAATTTAAGCTGAAATTTCGATTTTTTAAATCATTTTCCATCCAGAATTTTCAGAAAAAAATTAATTTCAAAATTTTCAGATTTTCAGAAAAATTTCAAAAGTCCAAATTTAATATTTTTAAAATCAAATTCCTGCTACAGTAATCCAAAACCACTCACCATTTTTATTCATACCGCTGGCCGCCGACTTAACCGAGTAGATTTTCGCAGATGATGACATTTTCAGATTTTCAGACAAATTTTCAGCCAAAAAAATCCCAAAAAGTCTTCAAATGGGGATTCAGGTGAACATTCCCTGGAAAATTATTTTTTTTTGGATTAGAGAAAAAAGACTAGAGAGACGCAGACAGTCAAAGAAACAGGTTCCCTGGAAAATCCTTTTCTCTGCGTCTCCAAAATCCTAGAAACCCATTGTACATATAGCCGCTTTTGCGACATTTCCGATTATATGGCGACGAGAGAGAGTATAGGGGAAGTGAGAGACGCAGAGAAAGCTAACACATTGAATGATTTGATGTCCTTGGATTACGATTTGAATTGGACGGTGGGGGGGGGGGGGGGGGGCGGTGAAAAGAACATTGGAAGTGGGAAAATCAGCTAGGAATGGGCAAGTTGGAGTTTAGAGACTTAAAATTTCTAAATGAATATTAACATGATTTGGGGAAGTTTGGAAAATAATTCAAAAATTAGAAAAAACGTTTTTCGAGCAAAAAAGTCTTAAGTTTTCAAAGTTTTCAAAAAAAATAACTCGAATTTTCTATCAATGAACATAAAATAGATAAAATTCCCTTCAATTCTATCCAAAATTCACTTTTCTAGCGCTTCTGGGAGTCGAGATATA